GTACATTAGTATAGTATTCTGAAATCTAATTGTTCTCTATAATTCTTAGTTATTTTTATTTATTTAATTATTCATTCCTCTCAGAAATATTGTTATGCCTGAATCATGACGATTACAATATTGTAGATGCAAATGTGAAAATACACTTTTAACGCTCATAATTCATATTTAAAAATAAAACACGTTTAATTATATTATTTGGATGCTAAAATAATGTCGGTATATACTCGTAGTTACCAATCAACCTTTTTTTAGTTTCTCTAAGAAACAAGATTTTGTCTTACATCAAAAATAAAATAACAAAAACAATGTTGACATACGAGAAAACCATTCGATTCCGAATAAAACTATTTCCCCTTGTCCGGTTTAAAGGTCTATGGGTTCAATGTAATTACCGAATAGACTTTCAATTCCTGTCCGATAAACAAAATCCATCCGTACCTATGAATTATTCATCGCGACCGAGAAGCAATATTTACCTGCTACATCATCTCTCCTAGCCTTTTTACAATCAATGTAACCAAGGGTTTTTCCGCGGGGCTAACATATGCTTGTATCATATTATTGAAAATCGACATTGACCAGTGTGAGATAATCGTAAACCATCAAAATAAAACTGATTCTAACATCAATTGGCAACGATTCAAAGAAAGTATATACCTTCATTTCAATTTCAGAATAGGTAATCATACATAATAAATAATAAAATATATTATAAAGCGTAATGAAAATATTTCTGAAATTTAATTTAATTTTAATATTAATTAATAAACAAATAACAGGAATATAATTATCTTAAACTAGTCATCGTTCAAAATATTATCTTTAACGGTCAATTCTAAAATCAATAAAAATATTTAAAAAGCTGAATATATTTATTTCAATACATTATTTTCATTTATTTTATACACTAATATATCTTAGAAGTGGTATATATTTGAATAAAATCTATACTAAAGTATAACATTTATTCTAAAAATGGACGACTAAAGATAAGTTAAAATATTCTATACCAGAGGTGGCCAAACTTTTTTCGGCTACGATCTACTAAAAATATACTTCATCTTTGAAGATCGACTTTCTTGGAAAAATGTTTTTATTATTAAATAATTATAATTATTAAGGAACATACTTGTTTAAAGTATATATAAACATATATAAAGTATTATAAACTAATTACTAATTACTAAAAATAATATAATAATTCCTAAAATTTAAATACTTAAGTCTAATCAACATATTAATATTTATTTTGTTGATCTGGGCATTGTTGAAGTCCACGTGGCCTAAAAATAAATTCTAACATGATCAACTCTGAAATCGTCGGCGATCGACCGTTTGGCTGCCCCTGTTCTATACCGTTTTATTTTAAAAAAAATGATAAGAAAAATTTAATTTGTCAAAAAACTGAGATCGAAAAAGTGATGTGTACAATCATATAAATGCGATAACATAAGACTCATGTAATAATTGTTTAAATTACCATTAACCCACATTGTGTGTGATGCTAAAAAAAACATTTAAACTATCTAATTTAAAATCAGATTATCATGTTATAGAATAATAACAAAAAAAAAAGTTCCATATAACGCTAATGTTAATGCTTCGTGTAACATAAACTAAGGAAAGCATGTTACTTAAAATAGAAATTAAATGTGCTCTACTTTACATTAAAGATTTAATATTCAATTTTAAAGTAACTTGCATCGTTTAATTAACTTTGTGTAGGTACTTTGAATACTCTTTTAAACTATGAACAAAAATTTATGTTTATGAGAACGTATTTGGCACTGCGTATTTATGTACCTATTATATATTTTATAGATTACGATTTCGATAGTCTAGTGGAGTATTATATGGAATAATTTTTCAAGTTTAATTTAATGACATAATATTGCATTCGAAGAAATTACAATAAAATAAACCGATTTGTAACACCGTATGGTTTGAACGACTTGCGATATTATTGGAAATTTATCACTATTAATGCTCATAGCTACATCTAGTGGCATGGTGAACGATGTTTGCCTTATGCAATGACTTAGTCCTAAAAACCTATCAAGGGGCTAAGTATCCCTTGGCTCAGGTATTTATGAACATATTTTATTTTAATAATTAAATTAATTGGCTAATCAAATGCATTAAAACAATGCAAACAACTTCAAATCAAATTCTTACATTAAGAAATAAAAATTAAAACTCTCCAAAATAATTAATAACCGGTACCAATAGTACGAGTATGTTACTCTTACACACTCTAGCTTACGCAGATTCCGATCGGAGTATACCATATAAACGAATGTGTTGGATTTATTCAACACGTCTTACTTTCGAGATATTGGTGGAAAAACTATTTTGGATAGTTACGAAAAAAATATTAACCTATCATAATTTAATCCTAGAAGCGTGTTTTTCGAAACACCCTTTCGTGGGAACTCATACTTAGATTTTTCGTCGGTACTAATTTTCCACTCGGAGTCTAATTGAAAAATTTGTACCGAACTGTTAGTCCAGCTCGTGTGGTGTTTGGCCTATGTTATCCACTTTGTTATCCACTTTTAATTCGAATTTCATTTCAAGAACTCGTAGACCCAATATTTACACATTTATGGTTAACTTTAACCCACACAAACGTTTCAAGTGTACGAAACGAATTTTTTTTTTTTTGGATATTTTGTCCTATATATTGGTTATTTTATCCCTGGATATTTTATTACAGGATATTTTGTCCTTGGATATTTTGTCCCAATACCGTACGAAACAACGCTATTATTACGTTTTATTACGTAATCGTTCGTAGGACGGCTATAGAGTATAAATACTTACCGTCTTGTCACAGGCTATTAACGGGCATTTGGTGTAGCGAGCAACAATCGTTGTGAAATAAGTAGAGACTAAATAATTAGTGGGTTCAAATATAATAATAAAGAATAATAATAATATAATAGTATATTTACCAAGTGATAGTAATAAAAATTAAACCGTTTAGTCGATTCACTCCTGTGCGTACGGTGATATTACCGCGATTGTTGACGGTGTGCAATCGAGATTATACAACCAAACACCTACAAAACGATTACACACGCGCGCGCCGCGATATACGGCGGTGTAAAAATAACAGTAATAATAATCAGCCACAAAAAGCCGTCCACACTCGAGGCGATCGACACGCGACGCAATTTCCAAGCAATGTGGATCTACCAACGACGCGATTTGATAACAATGCGAGCGACGGACGACACGTGCGACCGGCAGTGCTGGTTGCTTGGCAGCCATGTCGCACTGACTGTACGTAAAATATACTACTAAAGATATTTATATAATTATTATTACGTATTTAATAATACGACTAATATTAATCGAACGATACACAATGATAATAATAACCACACGACAATCACTTCGTGTGTGCACGACGGGCTCCATCCAAATTGGGTCCCGAATTTAAAATTATTTTACTAGTTGGGTCCCGAATTATTTTAGGTACTATTCTAATTGGGTCCCGGACTTTTATAAGTACTACACTAGTTCCTGAATATTTTTTTGCTAAATACTATATTTTACTAAAATTTTCCTTCCCATTTTAACAAACTTAGGACTATCTATGATCTATTAAGACTACAAGTATAGTTAAAAATGTTTTTTATAGTTTTTTGTGTTTTTTAGTTTCTTTTCCGTTCATTTTTATTTAAATTACATAATGGTTTTAACATTTTTAATAATTTTTTCATTTACCTATATGGATAAGATTATATTATATAATATGTATTTTTATATTTGATTTTTAATATTTTTAATATTTTCACCAACACAATTCTAATTATTTATATTTTAATGGAAAAGAAACTAAAAAACAAAAAAAAAAATAAAAAATTATTTTTAACCATACCTATGGTCTAAGTAAATTATAGACAGTCCTAAGTTTGTTAAAATGGGAAGGAAAATGTTAGTATAATGTAATACTTACAAAAAAATAATCAGGAACTAGTGTAATACCTAAAATAATTCAGCACCCAACTAGTGTAGTACTATAAAAATCTGGAACCTATCTAATACACTACCTGCGATTAGCCCTTAGTACTCGGGACCCAAATTGGATACTCCGGTATGGCGTAATGCACAGATCGCTCATATTGCATATATCACGTAAATCATGCACACACACGTGTCAATCACCAAGTTGTGCGGAAGGCTAACGCTTATAAAAAATACATGGGTTGAAATCAACTATAATAAATGGGCGTGGATCATGAACATCCACCGGCGTAGCGATCAAGCCGACAGAAAAACACATATATATGGCACATAGGGAATGAGAAAAAACCCTAGAATTTTGTACATCGTCTGCCCTATACGCGCTCGCACGGACCGGTTCAATGTAATGGTAAAATATGGCAATTTCGAACACCGAAAGTGTACCAACCAACTACTGCGGGACAAATGTGAAGTATCAAAAAGTTTGAAGTTTCTGTACGTAAATCGAAATTCAACAATAGGATAACAGTTAGATTAACGGAATAAATTGAACAAAACCAAAAAAATATATATATATATATATACAAACACGTTACAACTTGTGGGGAAACTTGTATGTAGTGCGTATACTCAGGGAAAAAAACTCATACGCAGAAACATTGTTTCTAGTGTTCAGGGAGTCATTAACAACTGTAAGATGTTTTGCACTCAAAAAGTTTCAACACATATAAGTGTCCCGGTCGAACTTTTCCGCTACATTTGACATATGTAAAACACACGTATGAAACTTGTCCTTCGTACTTTCCCTTTCATTTAATGTACACATCAGTCAATTATAGTGACAGGAAATATTATTTTATTAAAGTATTAATCATGTATTATCATAACCTAACCTAACTTGAAGCAAAGAAAAAACTGTCACCATGGAGACATCGCCGTACGAAATAATGGAAAAAAAGTGAACCAACAAATAATATTTCAAGGATTGATTCGGTTCAAATGAAAGTTATACTTGGCGTGGGTGAACGTGCGTGTGCTTCTTTACTTACGAACGAAAGATTTTCGTCGACATTTTCAAAATGGAAGATCGAAAATCATCAATAAGAACCTATGATATTGAAACATATGATGAGGTATTTATTATTTATCAATATGATTTTATATTATTAGTAATATTTAATTATATTAATTTCATTATTCGTTTTATTGTAGTATTTATGAGTTTAATAAATCTTAGAATTATAATCGAATGACCACGGTCAGTAAAATAAATATTCGAATTTCATGATAAATATAATATTAAAACAACATATCAGCTGGTAAAAGACAAAAAGGGCTAAGCGATACTGTATTCTACGGGATAACCGATAGTTAGATCTTTCGGTCGCAATAACGTAGTTAGTTGCTACGACCATTTAGTAATAAGATATAGTAAGTACAAGAATTAAGATTTTTTGGGACAAGCGATACAACTGTTATAAAAGTAGGGGACAAGCGCCTTTTTTAAGGGTATAAGCAACACTGTTGAAAATTGTATAGACTAAGCGACAAATTCATGGCGCTTAGCCCCTACGATTGTAGCTTATCCAATTTTATAATGATAAATACCATTTTTATATTGATATAAATTATAACGAGAGTAAAGTTGTTAACTAGGTATACGAACTTACATTTCACAATTGTTTACTGTACCAAAGTTTACTGAACTATCTTAAAAGGAAAGGTAAATACAAAATTATTATTATAAACTAGTTTGATTCGTTATGATAAAAAAAGTAATTTATACCTATTTCAATGTAATTAGTATCAGACCAGCAAGGTAATATGTAATAGAACCAAAATATATAATAACTGTATACCTAATGCTTAGATAAATACCAAAGCGTCAACATCAAAATTAAAACAATATGAAAATTTTGTTTTTGTTCTTCTGAAAAATAGTAAAATTGTCGCTTAGCCCTTTTTGCCTTTTACCAGCCGATATAACATAATTCACTGTATACGGATAATATGACACGTTATTACACGTATTATACAAATGATTAAAACACTTATCGTATAACTAATGCTCTTTGCATGAGCGATTAGATTAATTTTATAATAATTAATACAAACTGAGATTATATTAATACATTCTACGTGTTAACTGAACTAGTATTATATTTAAACTTGAAGAATTTGTAAACAAAGTTGAAATTAATGATTTCCATTAGTATTTAAATTAACATAAACTTATAATATTAATACGTGATATTTACTAATTCCAGTTAAATATGAAAAACCATTAAAATTTTAATGTACCACAATATATTCACTTCACATTCCTTTCTAAACTCTTTTCCCATAGTTACTCTTACTCCGACGTAAACCTACCTCCTCAATTCTCATTTTTCCACTGATACTCTACATCATAATTTATTTCATTCTTAAAACTGATATATTTAATGCAAAATTGTCCCAAACACATCTTTTATCGAACTTGGAACTTACACTGACGACACTTCAATCGTAGCTTCCAACGAAAATCCAGCTGCAGTTTCCAATATGATACAAAGAAACTTTAATATTATCCACTAATGTAGAAAGCAGTGGAAAATCAGAATTAATATATCCAAATCCTTATTCTTAACATTTGCGTTAAAAAAATGAATATGCCTACAAGTTACAATGAACAATATTCCAATCCCTGTCTGCTCTGAAGTAAAGTACATAGGCTTTTGTTTGGTCGCGAAATTCGGTTTAATGAACACGATTGATAACTCGACCTTTTTTTTGGACTGGGTGCTATGCAATTAATTTTAAATTCATAAAAACAAGTAATAGTGGACTGTAAGATTTATTGATATATACTATCGTCAAATAAATTTTGTACAAAAGAATATCTTAACTTATGTTAGTTCTAACAAAATACAATTAATAATGTAAATAATATTACTAGTAAACAAATTAGTGAATAATATTGATAAAAACAGTGACAACAATATTTTGATACGTCTGACCTGGTAATATCGTGGGAGTGGATTGTTATTGACATCAATCGACGCGTAACCAACAAATAGCGACGATCCGACTCGGTATCAGACAATACGACGAATGGCAAATATACATGTGAAACGTTGCAGCATCGTCAAGATCCGCACAATGTCGAACGCCTATATCAAATCAGCTACATGCGGCGAACGGTAAATTTAACTACCACGTAACGCCCGCAATGGCGATTGTAAAAACCTAGAAAAAGAACGGCGACGACAGAAGAAACATGGTGTGACTTCGTGGTGGTTTGTATAACGGCCAGCACACCATATGCGCATGCGCGCACACACACTCTCGTTGCGATAGACAGCGCCTTATCAGTGTTACCAACCACTCTGCGTGATGGGAATCGGATCGGGTCACAACACTTTATTTTAAATAAAAACTAAACGAGAATCTTCATATTAAGAATAAACGTAAAAACCTAAACTCCTGTCTCTATCTACTAAGGCCCATTCGTGATCTAAAATAAACATCAATAATTTATTTTTAATTTATAAGTCTTTATTTAAACCAATATTATCATATGATATCCAATTATCGGGAGTGACAAAATTCTCCAATACAAAAAAAATTCAAACTTTTCTTGATTTGTCTCTACCTACTTTACTCTGCATCTTGGTACAAAACAACAATAATCTTCATAAGGATCTTAAAATCCGAACCATAAATCAAACTTTCATAATTTCTAATGCTAAATTCCCCAGTCGCACACTAACCCTCTTATCATTAAACTTTCATCGAATACATTCCTCAGTAACCCACAACGCAGACTCAAAAGGAAATGGAGTAGGGATCTTTTGCTTTAGAAACTCACAATAATTAATAACACACCTGCTAGTTTTTATCACTGAGTAATTCCCCAACTCATATTAATCGTCGATATTTTTATATTCAGTGTTTATCGAACTGACTTATAGTTTTTTTTTTTTTTCTGTTAAACAGTTCGCGGCAACTATGGCCATTGGACGAAATATTTAATTTACATGATTATATACACATTACAATAACGGTTCTAATACTAAATAGATAAAAAAATCAAAGGGTATAAAAAAAGTAAAAAGAAATTACACTCTTGATTGAGTGTATATTGTTGAAGTGGCATACATTAAAAAAAAAAAAAAAGTTAAGAGTATTCAGTTATTCATTGTATTCATTTATTCAGAGTATTCATTGGTTACAGTTACAGTTTATTTATTAGTTGTGTTTCTGATAGTAATTGCTTATATATGTTAGTGGGCTTAGGGTTGAATATTTCGACTAGATGGTGAGAAATTTGAAAGTGTCTTCTCTCCATATCATACTCTCTGTATTCGGTAAGTATGTGCTTGGTAGTGAGGGGTATCCCACAGCAACCACATATTGGTGATTCTTCTTTTTTTATTAAATGTGAGTGAATAAGGAATGTATGCCCTATCATGAGGCGAATGATGGTGGTCTCTTGTTTTCTTAAAATATTGGCTGGGAAGAGAGAAGGTTGGATGGAATATTTGACTTTGTTAAGTTTGGTTGGCAATTTATTCCATTCCGTCTGTCGAAGGAGAGATTTGTCATATTCAATTGTTCTCTTAATGTATTTATAAAAGAAGCAGAATGGTGAGAGTATGTAGAGATGAGTAGGCAAATTTGGCTGCCTTGTCAGCTCATTCGTTGCCTTCAATGTTGCAACGGCCGGAAATCTAAGTGTATGTAATTCTTTTACCAGCTCATTGAGCTTTGAAGTGAGCATTCTGAATTTTCCTGACAATGTCAGAAGGGATGTAATGGTCTTGAAGGCTGATGATGGTAGATAGTGAGTTACTGAATATTTTAATACTGTTATCAGTTACTTTTTTAAAGGCGTACTTAATAGCTTTAAGAATTGCCATAGCTCCTGCAGTATATATTGAGCATTTGTTTGAGAGTTTCCACTGGATTGTGTCTTTATTGCATAAGATGGCCATGCCAACATGTCCTGAGATGAGGAAGGCATCCGTGTATATGTAGGTATGGGGAAAGAGTGAGTAATACTCTTTGAATAAATTTCTATAAATGGAAGGGCAAGTAGAGTTCGTGGGAAAAAGGTGGAGATTAAGATTGATGTCAATATTGAATTTCCAGGGAGGACAGAGCAAATTTTCATATGGAATTATATTTTCTAGCTCGTACTTTGTATATTCATTGTTAAAGATACGTTTGAGGTGATGAATTAGAGCTTGGAGGAATCTTGCCATTCTTGCAGAATGTTTGATCGTCTATTCTTCCCATCAAGAGGGAAGGTTAGAATGATTTTGATGGGACTCGAGCGGAAGGCGCTGATGGAGAAGCGGCATCCTGCATTGTGAATTGGGTGCAGAATTTTTAAATTTTTGGCGGTTGAGAAAACTGAGTGAGGCACCGTAATCGAATTTTGTGCGTATGAAAGTTTTATGTATCTTACTAAGGGCTTGAGATTGTGCACCCCATGAGGTGTGAGCGAGAGTTTTTATGATCCTCAATCTTGAGGAAATTGATTTCTTTAAGTTGAGGATGTGAGGAATCCATGACGCTTTGTGGTCAAAAATAACATCAATTATTTTGGCTTGGGGCTGGTTTTCAATTACATGATTTCCGAAGTTGATTCGGATTTTGTTTCTAATCATCTTATAGTTGAAGATTATAAGACTGGTTATATAAGACTAGTTTTCTCAGGAGAGAAACGAAAACCAGATATTTTAGACCACGATATGAGTTTGTTCGTAGAGTCTTGAAATATTTGTTGAATATTATTAGCTTTTGTGCTACGGCAGATTAAAGTGAAGTCATCGGCATATAGCAGAGGAATGTTGAGAGATAAAATTTCCTTGAAAATGTTATTGATAGCAATCAAAAAAATATTTACGGAAATAGAAGATCCCTGAAAGACTCCAATTTCCTGAGGAAAAGTGTCTGACAGTGTGTTGAACGTTTTTACTTGAAAGATGTGGTGCTTGAGGAAATTTGAGATGAAATCTAACCCGTTTCCTTTTTCAATGATATTATTGAGTTTTTTTAGAATAATTCTGGGTCTCCACGCCGTATCGTATGCCTTAACGATATCGAAGCTGATCATCCCCGGTTTTTGCTTGTTTTTTATATAAGTGACGATTTCATTTTTAATATCTAAAAAATTATTTATGATACTTCTGTTTCTAATATGGAAACCATTCAGTACAGAGGTGAAGTAATCAAATTTCTCAAGGAACCACATGAAACAGCAATCGAAAACTTTTTCCATGAGTTTGCACAATAGTAAATATTGTATTGAATTGTATTGTAAATGTGATTTTAAATTCTTTTAAAAAAATCTGAAATAATCAGATCTTACATTGTATGAACATCGTATTATAATTATTAAATTGAGTTGCGATTTTATATTTTTATTTTATTTATTTTTTTTTCATATTCAGTCGCGTTTTATTGACTTTTTATAGATATTTTGTACCTGATGATAATTTTTAATTGAAAACTGGTCGTATTTTACAAATATAATAATACTCCATGTTATAGTAAGCTATAGTATCTAATAAGATAAAAGTAATATTAAAAAAAAACTTTGAAAATATTATTACGACCGCACATGTTAAAATCGATAAAAATGTAAACCACCACTATGCGCAAGATATGTAAAATTTCAAGTAAAAAATTGCTTTCATAATACGAAGAAAAGAGTACAATATTAAGATGTTCTCAGAAAATATTAGTTATATTTCTTTATTATTGCACTGGATGATATGTACGATTTACACAATACATACAAATGACTAGTATTACACTAGATGGAGTTAATTAATGGACGACTACAACCTATGATATAATATAATACATAACGTATTTCGATATAAATTTTAACATGACAACCATCTTGAACCAAATCTAAAGTAATTATAATAGTTTAGTGTTTCTATCTTCTAGCCGGAAGACGTGTACGAAACCACTTCAAATCATCATCAGATTCATCAATTACGAGTATGGGAAGACCAAAACATCCACGGTGATCCAAAAAATGCCAAGGCATACGAAATTGAAAAACGAGAAGTGATTTTAACTGTTAATAATTTCATGACCAAGTTACTCATCGAAAGTCAACGTTTCAAAAATAATGGTTTGAAATATTATAATATGTGTTTTGTGATCATATAATGATGTGAAATGCACATTTTTATTATGTTACAAAATTATGATTACAATTAATTTTTATTAAATATCAATGCATTTTATTAGATGACGGTATGACCAAAAAAAAGTACGAGGAAATGGAAGATTATTTAACCGACCGCTTAGAAATAGCTCATGATTTAATTACTAGACTCAGACAGTTACTGACAATGGAGAAAACTGACGCGGTGATGGACCACTCGTTAAATAAAACTAGATTTTTTAAAATGAACGATGACTACGGTAAATTATTTACAACACCCATTTTATTGCAATATTTATGAATAATTAATGTAGTATAGGAATTCCGTTGTTTTCAGTATCTCAAAACGAAGTGAATGAAAACAATCGACAAAAAGCATTGACGGAAAAGAGAAGAAAAGTCAAATTGTTCAGTGATACCATAGACTCAATCACCGAGAGATACAATTTGATAGTTGATACGATAAATGCTCCTAGTGATTACAAGTTTCTATACGGTGTGCCAATTAGAATATTAAAATATTTTTATTTTTATTATTATTATTTGTACCATTTCTGTCTACAGGGATGAAAACAAACACAATACATTTAGAATTGAAAAAAAACATTACGAAAAAGAAGAAAGATACAAAGGTAATATAACAATGAACAGTTCGAGAAAAGTCTAAAAACTTTTAATCAAATTTATAAAACCTTTACTGACTGAACAATTTTTATAACTCTGAAAACATAGCAGCATAGTAATATGTTGAAGTTAAAATAGGACACTCTTTGTTATAAGAAGTCAAACATCGATGGTGTGTCTTGACTTCAAAATGTCTTAAAAAGTACTGTTATCCATTACATAGACCATTAATGATAAATTAGTTTGGCTTTTATCCGCATTTATAAACGTAGGAATCAACGTTTTAGCTTGTTTTCGAGTTAGAAATCAAAAAAAAAAACTGTTATTTTTTCTATTGTTCTGACTAATATTTTATTATGGAACAAGAATTTGTTCTTCTTTCGCCACTAAACAACCATTGCTAATATTTTATAAGTATAGATTTTAGATAAAACTATTTTAATTACTTGGTTATCAGAGTTTACATAATAAAAAGTAATATTGCATTTTTATCGCTTTTAAAATCTGGAAATTTAGTTTCAATAAATTGACACTGTAATAAGTATATAATGATATTGTATGTTAAAAGAAATGTAAAAAATATCTTTAAAGTAATATTTTCTTTCTTATTTATTGTAGGTCTATAGGGAATGGATACTGTTCCGGCAATTATTTGTTTGCTATATTATATTCGTAAAAATAAAAATAAAAATGTAACAGTCCTTTATGTTATTAATATATATATATATATATATATATAAACTACAGCGTTACAAAACTCTTATAATTAAATACGTATTTTTTTAATAATCCATATCATTTACCGTATATTAATGTACATTAAGTAAGTACACGCTGTCAGTGCATTTTTTAACTAGTTAACTAGGCGACACAAATGTCACCCAGTGATAATACTCTGTCAACAATATTTTGAAAGATTGGGCGAAATAATGCGAAACAAACGTGTAATACTATAATCGTACTATGGTATTACATTGACTATTTTAAGAAAAACATTTTTTGGTGCCCAATGAAAATTCCTTATAAAATGCACTGCACGCTGTATGTTTAACTGTTACATTGTTCATCGAAAACGTTTTAGAAGACAGACCGATATCATTCCAGGTTAAAAAATTTAAAAAATATCTCAATAACTATTATTGAAATTATGATTAAGCGTATTGGAAACTCAATACGACTTCTAAACTCACCTATTTTAAATTTTCTTTAAAATTCCAATACTATTCGAAAAGTCTGACACACTGTTTGTTTAAAATTACGGTAAACGAATGAAGTGTCATTTGAGATATTTTTAATTCCATGATAAACTGAGAAACTTGAGTGCGACAAATTATTGAGACATTAGTCTATTGTTATTGTACTGGAATATATTCAGAAAAAATTATTATTTGGAAGAATATTTAATCGTTTCTTATAAAGTTTTAATTTGAATTCATTCAAATTTAACTTTAATCCCAGCAACAGTTGCAACGCGACGTGATGTTTACTGTACAGTCTTGAAAACTTTCTAATGGGTTAAAACAAACGATAGCATTCAAAACCATAGATCTTATTGTACACATTCAAAACAACCGTTAGAGTACTCAAACAGAATATTAATATTACCACTTCGCTATATAAAAATATAATTAAAAGGAAAAATAAAACGGTTAATTTGGTCCTTGTAATATATATTTGAATATTCGAGAAACCATCCACTTTGATTTTAACCTTATTAAAACGTAATCAACCCTTAAGACGTGCGTCGAAATTTATAGTAGATATTAAAAAACCGTTTTAAAATTCGATTATATATTCGATTGAATTTCTCCGGGTATTCCGTTTGTTATATTAAAACAAAAATTGACAAATCGTTGTCAGCAAATTAATTCGAGTTTTTGCAATGAATTGCAGGTTATCCTATCGGGCGTATATCGACTCCGCCGAAAATATATATACAAGTTACATCATATATACACATTACATCTTATATAGGTACTACATATTATACCTATATATATACCATATCTATCACGACGGTATAGTGGAACAAAGTTAAATAAGAAAAAAAAACATATACATTTTATAAAATAAATTAATAATAATAATATATATAATAATCACTGATTATTAATCAGCAATAATTTTAGTTGAATTGAAATATAAATTTTGAGCTGAGCATATTTTAATAATATATCTAAATGTGATAGCATATGAATTTATGCTTTTATTTGATAATAAGAAATAGGATAATGGAACATAATCTCCATTTTTAAAAATAACAGTTGACAGTAAACAGTTGATAGAAATATTCTGAGCAACTATAAAATGTACCATCTACAAATATTTTGTCACTAGAGCATAGCAATTTTAAATTAGAATTTGCAGAATAGAATAAAATATTATTTACTGTGTCAGTATTTAGTAGAAAATCTGCTGGAAACAATATTATGTATTTACAAAATCCGAAAATGTTTTAATATTATAATTTATATGTTATATTCTTGTATAAATATATAAATCTTCGGCGGAATCAATATATTTAGATATTCGGCGGAATCGATAAATTCCCATCCTATCGACCACCAAAACGTATTTATTTTAAATTCCGACGTCAGAACAGATTGATTTAACTATGTACATACGATTGAACGTACGAACTGGCGATCGGACATATACATGCTAATCGTCTCATTTAAAAACAACTATCTGGTTCACGATATAATTATTACTGCCAGTCGGGATACAAACGTCGTTTAAGTATATTTACTACTTATCGTACGCAAACACAATAATTGTGTTCTACGGAAACAAAACACCCGACGAACAAACGAAAATTTCTCGCCGTCCGGTTTTTGAAGCGATTTTCTCACAAACAATATCATCGGGGAGGCGGCATGTCATTTCGACGGAAACAAGTTCAACTCAATATTATTACTCGCAAGCCACGCGCATTCCGGTGGTACACATGTGCATTTACAAAAAATAAAAAAACATAAAACATACAGCGATAGAATACAGAAAAAACAAATCATTCATTTTTAATATTGTTATTTTTTTTCCTTTCGTTAAAACCTACTCGAAAGGTTTCGCGAAAAATATAAAACATACCGAGACTATCAATCAACCGGAGCAGGTCATGCATTTGTAACGTGTCTATAGTGTGAGCATCGTACCAGCCGTTGATACGCGCGTAATAATAACATCGAACGAATGCATACTGGGTGATTTTTTAAGTATGCCCATCCTTTTTTTATACTTTTATATTTTCCGGTATAAAAATTTTTTGTATCTCTTAAAGAATATATCTAACTTGTAGAAAAATCACCTTTTGTTTATCAACTACCATTTTTTTTAGTACGCAAATAACTGTTGAGTCAATTTTTCTAGAATTTTTAATATAACATAGCTAACATTTGATCCATTTTTTTTGGTACTATTCAAATTTAAAATTGCGTATGAAAAATATAATATTAGGATATTGATAGTTTTCTTTTTCATTATACCTTCACGATTAAGCAAACTATAATATCATAACTTAGAGTATACATAATATAATATACAGATATAAATAAATGCAAAATTCCAGTCATAAGCTATTTGGATAGTTCCGTAAAGGTCGGTCGAAATGTTGACTATATATGTTATAACAAAAATTCCAGAAGAGTTGGTTGAATAATCTTATTCACTAAAATATGAAACGGTGTTCCTATTTAAAAAACAATAATTTAAATTGACTGCGGAATACTTCTTAAGCGTTAACTGCCTACGTTTCAAAAAATATAGTCTTATAACAGTACATATACGCTTTCCATCAATCATAATTTTAAAAAGTATATAAAAAAAAAAGGCTGAGCACGGTTAAAAAACCACCAAGCACCATTTATTACGATATTTCGTGTTACGGGGAAAATCAAAATACATTAATTAGTCCACGTACGGTTTACGGCGCAAATGGCGTGTCATCATAATTCGGTTACCGTACATCGCCGCCATCACCACCGTCATAGTGAAGTACTTAAAACATCGTTTTACAACTATTATATTATATTATTATGCTCATCCTTCGGCAACGTTAAGTATAACGTAAATTCAAGAGCAATTAAACGGTTGTTATAGAAATGATTAAATTATAGTATCGTCACCGAACAATGTCCGTTTATATATTATTATTATCTGTTATAATTATCGCAGCACTTATGTTCTAACAAAAACCTCTTGACTAAGCCCACTTCCTCGTCATAAATGACTCATGACTATTTAACAATTATTGTTTTGCGATTCTAAAATAATATTGATTAATCGACGACAACCGTCGTAGTGCAGGTGAACGACTATCTGAGGTCTCCGGTTTACAAATCGAGCTTCTTCCTTTATTTTCCGATATATCCTTTTTCAAGCAAGACGTTCGGAACTAACTTTAAAAATTAAAAGTCATTGACACCTTGATAACCATCAATGCCCGTCCTCTCTACAAATAAAATATTTGTAACAAAAACATTGTACATTTCTAGTGGGAAAATAAAATATGAGATACTTAAAAGCTTAAAAATAGTATTTTTGATCATCATATAAATTTCATCACCACCAACCTATCTATTCTTATATAGCTTAGTTTTCTATTTTATAAAATCTAGATAAAAAAAAGAAAATAAACAAAATACAAATCGTCGACACGAAAGAAAACATTTTTGCAAATATGTTGTTTATTCCTAACCCCTTGCAGTTAAACGAGAAAACTTAACAGATAAATCCATATCCTTGTGTCCACCCTCAGCCACAATTTAAATACTACGATTTATTAATCCATGTACAATTCAACCACAATTTGAATACTAGAATTTATTAATACATACACAATAACCTACATGATCGGATACGATATTCATATGTGGCGTAAATTGTAACGGGTTAGGTATTGTGTTAAACAACCACTGATGTATAATTCTGTTACGATGCACACGAACAAAATCATATAGTTTAGGAGGAGAAGTTAGTCGCAAAGACGGAAGTAAACATAATAATACCGACGGTGATAGATGGCCGTACAATAATTCGCATAGTCCAAGTCTGCGGAAAATAGTTGTGATCAGGTTAAAGAAGAATAATAGTGATATTATAAAATTAATATTATTATTGCAGCGAATATCAAAGATACCGCATTGTGGCAAACGGGAAATCGTTTCGAATCTTAATGATGTGAGCGGGTAGAACTCATTTTGAACCATCCAGAAAAGAACGGATTGGAAAAAAAAACCGTACATACATATATGCTAAGGTGATCGAAAATTTTCACGAAGATAAGACCATTCGATACTCCTTCGCCTAGTTGTTTGTATCGTACGAATTTCCGATTTACGCGATAACAAAATTCCACTACAGTTCTAAAAGGAAAAATCTACAGCTCTCATACAAAATTACAGCAAAAAAGGCCTTTTTATGTATGACATTTCTGAACATACTCTAATAATTTCATCACGTTGGCTGACATAAAACTTTTCTCTCCACACAGATACTTGATTTCCAACATTCGTTATTTAATAACATTTTCAGTGTACTCATGGATATTTTTTGATTTTTGATTTTTTGAACATACGATGTTTTTCTATTAGAAGTTACAATATTAACGACAAGATCAAAATCTGAGCTTATTGAACTAATGATAGCAAGGGGTTTTAAAATACTATATGTTATTCCATTACAGTATTTAAACTTTCACTTTGATCGTTTAAAATGTGTTTCACTAATCATTACTATATAATTACGTATCGCTAAAAATGGACTATTTAATGGAATATAAAAATTATAATTTTTTTTCCCTTCAAATTACTTCATCAAAATTTGTAATATAATTAAATTTTCTTTAATTTCTCATAGTTTGTTCATTTGAATTTTTATTTTATTCCGCGTTAATATTTATTTCTAATGTTGTTACACACGCTCAAATCGCGGTACACCCTTTTACATTCACTTAGTGCACGCTACATACTGTGTCATGATGCACATCAAATTCGATCTGCTGCACCTGTACCGCGTCAAACCTAATGAACTCGAGTGCTCATGTTTAAGCTTATCCCGTGTGTGATGATGAATGACGTTCTACATGCGTACGAAAACAACAGCATGCACGTGCATATCTAACGAAATGTTTGGCAAAAGAAATGCGCGAATGACGTGTTTTTTAGCCGAGAAATTCCGGAAGTATTATAATTAAGAGTATTTGATATCGCAGCAGCGCAAAACCATTCGCTACAACGATTAAAACATGTGCATTTTGTTACATTTTTAGCACTTTCGCAAATATGGTAGGTTAAGCGATATGATCCTTTGTAAAAGCATTCCTGCATGTAAACTTCGGTTAGCATACACTGTACGTGGATGATTTACGATATACCATTTCAGAATTTTTTCTTCAATCGAGTCGAAACCGAGTTTGTACAATATTAAGCTCAGAATAATTAGAGATATAAAATGTATGTACCTAAATTGTTTTCCTTCTGTAATTTGCCGAGAAACGTTTATATGAAAATATGGGGAGGAAAAAATTAAAACGTAATGCAAATTGCGATAAGTCGATCATCAGAATCGATGGACCGAAAATCGAGTAGATGACGTCAACGACGCCGTGGTAGTCAATCGAAATTAATTGACATAAAAACTTGCGAAGCCACGTCGTTGTAATGATGAGAAAATTTTACAACGGAAAAAACATCACCCGGGGGTGTTCAAAAGAGTTGTGACAATCACGCATTCAAGCCGTAAACTACTGTTGACACACAATAACTGCGAAAATCGGTGTGATGATGAATCACACGCTGTGTACCATATGGGCGATATATACACTCGAGACCTATTCTCAATATAATTAATAACCAATAATCCTTTAATACGCGACTATCGCGTTGCATTGCGATACTACTAATAGACGATTAATTACGGTTTTATTTAGAACGAAGGCAGAAATAATGAAGCTAGTGGTCCTGTTCTCGGATCGCCTTTGGACATATTAAACGGCAGAATCATCGACTCGGAGGTCAAACCAACCTATCGCATCATCGGAACAGATGTTACCAGCTACAAAACGGTTTACAACTATTCTTGCACTCTATACGGATTATATGGTACCTTTATACCGGACGAATATTTGATATTTAAGAGCGTTTCTCGTTCGTAAATTTTAGATTTAAAATAGTTTTTTTCAGTCGAAAAGATTTCGAGGTTTATTTATTTTTAAGGCTTTTGTTTGGTTCTATTTTGTTTAATTTTTTTGTTAATTAGAGAAACTAGCGTCTTAATTTTTAACATCACCTACTCTTTAATTAATTTCCTCTAGAAACGGTACAAAACAACTCTAGGAAACACTGTGTAAACAAACCACAAATAAAGTTCAACATGCAGATTTCCAATTGGATGGCCTTTGATCAATTCTGTAAAACATTTCTCAATTAATTTATATCTCTCTATGTTTTGCATTTTGACGATTCGAGATGGATTTACTGTGGTTTGAAAAAAAGGGTATATTAAATCTCATAGAAGAATAAATGAGCGAAAAGAACATTTAATTTAGATATTATGACGTGATGACATTAATGGCATAGTAGATAAAAACTAATTCCATTCATTACAGTTGAAGGGAAAGGTTCGAAAAAAGAAAAAGCTAAAGAAGATGCAGCCACCGAAATGATACGGCTGATTGTAAATGAACAGAACGCCAATACTCTATCAAGTCAGTTCAAGCCGTTCAACGAACAAGAGTAAGTAATCGATACATATAATAAAAATTACTAACTGATTTACTCAGCTTCATCCAGAAGAAATTTAAATATTTTAAATTAGATATATTAAAAATAGATTGTAAGAGTGATGTTAGTACGTTAGAAAAAACCTTTTTACCGCTAGAGTGTCATTAACTCGCTCACATATAGTTATTGTATTATTTCTATTGTTTTTTAAAAAAATGATCTTTGTACATTATAGTTACCATGGTAACATTTTGACCAATCGAAGCGTGGATAAACCCGGAAGGTGACATCTCTATTTTTGTATACGTACATATCACAACGATTACGGTACGTTACTAATGATTAGGGCTCGGAACTTATTGCATAGAAAACTAAAAAATATGCATGCAAAAATGCATTAGGTTAACATAAGAAATGCAAAAAAATATGCAAAAAAAAGGTTATATGCACTCGAATATTCAATTATTTTTTTTATTTTAAAATAAAAATAAAAATGTGTGAAAATAATTTATTCTTTTATAAAAGTTTTAAAAATCTTAAAAAAATTGTATTTATATTATTAAAAGTGGTCGTCAGTTTTCTTCAAGGTTTTCTTTTAATGGCTTTATAAAATAAAAATAAATTTCCTTTACTTATTATTTTATTATTTTACCTTGAAAATTACATTGAATAATTAAAGATTTTTAGATCGTCGATTGAAAGTGAATAAATTGTTGTACATTAAGAACGAATGTTCTACGTCAACTGATGTTATTACACAGTTTTTAAAATATGTGAGATCGTTTAAATTCAAATCTTCAGGTAAACCAGATGTGTCTTCTTTTTTTCCATTTAATATATCTGATATTTTGAAAACTGCTTGATATCCTTTATTTTTTGATAAAATAGATTCAATCTTAATATTTATTATTTTCCCCATTTTTCCATTAATTTGAATTAATTTTCCTTTGACTTCTTCGACAATAAAAATTGAATCTATCAGTAGAATTTCTTGTTTTTCAAGTCTTGTTATTAAATCTGATAAAAATCCAAAATTTTATTTCATGAATACTAGTTGTGCCTCAGTATTTTGATTCGAGAGACACTTTTTTTTATTTTTTTATTGAAACTGTATCATTGCCATAAAAATAATTGATGATTAATTTTATTTGCCCAAAATGTTTCCAGTAATAGCTAGCTGCCTTAATCCAAGTACCCCATCTTGTCAAAATTGGTTCAGGTGGTAGTAATAATGGTGGGGCTATTGATTTAAAATATTAAATGTAAGAAAGTACTTTGCGGAAAACCTTTTTTACATTTGCGATTAGTTTGTCAACTTTTGGATATCCTGCTCGTACAGTTTCTGCGATCCTATGAAATGCATGGGCCAAACACGTAACGTGTATTGTTTTTGGATAAAATAATTTAATTTCTTTCACAGCTTTTACCATTTAGAGGGCAGCGTTACTTTGAAACAATAATACTTTGTCGTGCTGAATACCATTAGGCCAAAATAAGTTCATTGATCTATCAAATAATTGACAAATTGTGGAATGATTACATTTTTCCAGTTGCTCGGAATGTAAAAAAAAAAATCATACTACTCCCAGTTTCATTTAAAATTCCAATAACAACAATAGCTACATATCTACCTGTGATATCGGTAGTTTCATCTACTGATACCCAAATACATTTATTTTGAACATAATCCCTTATTTTTTGAATTTTATTTTCATAAATGTCATCAACATAACCTTTTCGTAACGTTGACTCAGAAGGAATATCTTTACCAGTGTATTTCAACAGAAATTCTTTAAAATATGGATTTGATAATTTATTTAAAGGTATATTAGCTGATATCAAAGCTTCACAAAGATGGTGACTAAATATAGACTTTTTTGTTGTGTCCGTTATAAATTTTTATGTAAGTATTTTACTTGTACCTGGACGATTTTCAATACGCTTAGCTGCCCGTATACGTTTTGCCATCTTAAGATGCTCGGTGACAATAAACCTTTTATCCACGCTCACTTTTGTTTCTCAGTAATTACAAAACAGCACATTTTGGTCTGCTAAAAAAACATTTGACCCAAATTCTGTGATATATTTTTTAAATAAAACACATGTAAATTTCTTAGGCATTTTTGTAACGAAATGAAATGAAATAAAAAATTTAATGAAATTTGATACAAAAATAAAAATACAATATTGGTTAACAATTGCACACACAATACAAGGCACGAAAGGCGAGACTGACATGCAGAGTGCGGACGGTATAGCTATAGAAAATTGAAATATTTTATCTTTATTTGGTGTTAGTCGATAATAATTTATCTCGGTAATACACGGAACCATTCTATTTATAAAATTCTTATTTTATTTTTCTTAAATGAAAAACAGAAACGTCCATATTATCCACAACATTGAGAGAAATGTTCTACATAGTACTTAAAATAGGATATTATATTCATAAAAAATGTATTCATCATAAAAAAACATTCATAAAAATTGTAATATATGCGAAAATATGCATTTTTTTTTTTTTTTTTTTTGGTGTTTTTAAATTCGCTACAACTTAACACACATTTCTATCTTACTTGACAATTAAAAATATGCAAATTCGATAAGTCCCGAGCCCTACTTATGATTCATTACTATTTAGGCGACGACTTCAAAAACCGCACACTTTTGGTTGGTGAAAATCGAACGCTTTTTTAAATTCTTGTAACCAAAAACCGCACATTTTATAATGATATATAATTTATTATTTATTATTTATATTACACATTTATTTAAAAAAAATTTATTGAGGTACAATATGTAGGCATTAAAAAATTTAAAATATAAAATTTATAAAAATGTTTAAGGCTAAAATTTTTTGCTTACCTTTTTTTCAAAAAATTAAAATATAAAAAATAAAAATTTCCCCCTCTATTACTATCTTCTTCTTCTTTTTCATAGAATTGATTGGGCCTTTAAGACCATCCCATCTTACAACTTTTATTACTATCAATAATTTTAAAATCCATTTATAAAAACACTTTTTTTTATAATATATATATGTTTATAACCTTTGCGTTATACCCATAGGCGTCCGCAGAGTGGAGCCCTTAAAAAAAGTGAACCAAAGATTCTTGTACTAAAGACTACTAGTATAATTAAATATTTTAAATTTTATAAATTATTTATTTAATTCTATATGCAAATATAAAAATAAATACTATTTAAACTTACACAATTTATATCTAAGAAATCTTTATTTATATATTATTATACAACTACCCTTCTGTGTCCACGGGAGTAAGATTTTTGAATGTATCAATTACATCTTCAATTTTTATATTATATGCAAGTTCTAATTAGTCTGATTAATAACTAATAATTTTATTACATTTATTCACAGATATCAAATCTATACTATAAGATTAAAACTGACTTTACTTTATTCATGTAAAATGTAAAAATGTTCACTATCTTGTATAGTATAGATATACATTTATTAAAGAAAAATCCAGAGTCCACAGAGGGGGCCGCGGCCCACCCGACCAACCTTTCGTACACACCTATGGTTTACCACGCGTTTCGGTCGACAAATGTACTGATAATTTTTCGAGCACATCAACGTGCGATAAGATAAGCTTTTGAATGTAACAATTAACTTTAAAATTATATATACAACATTCGTCTATACAAAATACAGTATTAGTAATACATTATATAGTGAGGTTTTTAACCACTATACGTGTGCGGTATTTGGCTGTATGATATACTCGTACTTATCTAGCAATCCATAAAGTGTGCGGTTTTTATCTACCAACCTTTTTGGGGTTAAAATCAAATGGGTGCGGTTTTTGGATGCAACTTATTTAGGTACCATGGTATCTGTATAGATGTTGAAAATAGATTATCTGCATTCCATAAAAATTAATTTTTATTTCTTTTTAATTTAATTGAGAAAGATTTAACGTAGCTTACTATAAACATAACTTTCACCAGATTAATTGAATATCTAATTTTGGTCGAGTTTGAAGAACGTTGATATTTTAACATTGTGTTCGACTATTCCATAACATGTACTCAGCAAAGCTATAAACTCTATTGATCCCAACTCTAAATTTAACACAACATATTTTAATCATAATTCGAATACTTATAGAATGTTTTTTTGTTTAATATGTATAGAATAGGGAGCTTTATTAAAAAAGGAAAAATACTGTTTTAATAATTCACTTTAACTTAATATTACTTAAAACCTAAACATTTCAATACATTTCATAATAATTAAATTATAAATGTCTAATTTAATAACCAGTTAAATATTAATATATTATATTTTATTACTTTGAATGAATATAATATCGATGATTCCACAAGTAATTATATGATTATTATTAAACAATATTAACTTCATAATTTATTTCGTATATGTAAAATATATAATATAATAGTAGATTTGTCTAACAAATTTTGAACACATAAAAATAAAGGTTCTTAAATATATTGTACCTTAATGTATGGTGTATGCCAACAATAGCTTTAAAGAACATTTCTTTAGACTCACATGAATATCTTAATAATTATAATTCATATGATTTAGCTTCTCGAACTATTTTTTTTTTTTAAGTTTAATTGTAAACAAATACAAAAGTAATAATAAAGTAAATTTTTAATTACTTAATATGAAAGAAGCAAAATAAACACTTGTGTGAAAAATAAGTGGTGTTACAAATAATCTTAATCTAATAAAAGTAATATTAAATATAATGCATATATTTTGTAATATAAATTTGTAAGTCAAATAAAAATAAATAATAAATTAAATATCAATAAGTTGTATACAAAAAATTTTTAAAAAAAGAAAGAATATTGGCAAGATAAATAATTATTTTATTTATTTAATTTAATTTAATTTTATTTATATTTATTTTAACTGCTAGTTTATTTATATTTAATGAATCAAATAAAATACGAATTTCCAACGATGATATACAGTGTGTAAACGCTAACTAAAAGCACTCAATATCTTTGGATAGAGACCTGCAATTTGAATTCTGATTTTTTGTTGGTTTTTATGACAAAAAAATGTGTATTTTTACGAGTTTTTAATTTTTTAACTTAAATAGACACGCGCATGCACAGTACAACTTTTTTTTCATATATGGCAACCACCTATTTTAACCACTAATTATGTTTCGCCTATTTTTTTAATCAATTTTGGTAGTTAAACCAACTTTCTAAGTCCAAAATTGATCAAGTTACAGTAATTTAACCAAAAAACTGTAAAATACACGCGATTTTAAATTTTTTTGACTGCAACTCTGAAAATAATTATTTTAGAATTGTTGAGGCTTGATATTTTCACTCTTATTTTTTAAAGTGATTTTACACGTTATTATAATTTTCACTTTAATTTGGGTATGTATTATATCTTATAGCAGAAGAAACGTAAATTAGCAAGCACAGTTTATTTCAGTTAATTGTTTATTTCATGACATTTAATGGATGTTCGCCGACGCCACTCCTGCGAATATGGCGGTTGGCAGCGACGAATCGTGAGGTGTTGGAATTAAGTTGGCCAGTCGTAATTATATATAATAAAATAAATAAGTCTTTGTTGTTGTTAAATGACGGGCCAAATAGCACAGCTTTACTATTAATGAGCCGCTAAATAATACAAAAAAAGATATGGACAGATGCCCAAGGAGGGGAAAATATTAATAATAATAATAATGGTAATACAAAATATATAACAATAACAACATAATGAGGTGCCGTATGAGCAATAATACAATAATGAATAATAACTAATACCAAAGTGCAATATTGGCAATAATACACATAATCGTGTTATAATACTATAAAAGGCACGACCTGATCGGTTGACCACGACAAAACACCCAAGCTGACGTTGCCTTCTGGATCGACCTGACCACGATAAGCACCTGAGCCGAAGTTGCCCTCTGGATTACTCGAACCACTTCGGCAACTTGCGCGCAAGGCGAAAAAACGTCCACTCCGACAAACACGGCACTACGCATCACTTTTTCATGTGCCTACTGCGGTTTCGGCGTATCGATCGTAAATAATTTCCGTTACCAAAAAACAGGAAAAACTTGTACAAAACTATAATACGACAGCCGTGAGCCGGTCCTCACTCCACGATCACGCGCCTTTTTACGACAGCGGCATAAAACGCCCGCGCAAAAACCAATCGCGACGCCGCAACGATCGAAAGCAGACGACCGGGCTGACTTCACCAATAGCCTTTGCTTGCCGTTGCTTTAGGCCGTATGTGACAGAGAGAGGAAACCTAAGCGGCTAGGCAGTGTCTACAGTTGAGCGGGTTATTATGAGTCGTCTCGGGCGATTCCGGCGGGAACTTGACCGTGTTCGAACAATGGATCTATTGGAATTTATCAATAATTAACAATAAGTTTAATTTTTATTCAAGTTATAAGTTTATTTATTTATTGATTAATTTAACGTATAAATTGTTCAAATTTTTGTCATCCATGAACAAAACATGATTCAGCGCTCCGCATGAATTCTTTATTTGTTGCAGCAGTAATTTCTTCATCTTTAATAAATAAGAGTGAAAATATCAAGTCTTAACAATTCTAGAATAATTATTTTCCCAATTACAGTCAAAAAAATTTAAAATCGCGCGCATTTTACAGTTTTTTGGTTAAATTGCTATAACTTGGTCAATTTTGAACTTTTGGAATGTTGATTTTAACTATCAAAATTGATTAAAAAAAAAATAGGCGAAAAATAATAAGTGATTAAAATAGGAGGTTGTCATTTAAGAAAAAAAGTTTTACTGCGCATGCGCGTGTCTATTTAAGTTAAAAAAATTAAAAACTCGTAAAAATACACATTTTTTTGACATAAAAACCAACAAAAAATCAGAATTCAAATTGTAGGTCTTTACGCAAAAATATATTGAATGTTCTCAGTTAGCATTTATACACTGTAATGCAAATTTGAATTTATCGAATGAGTGTTTATATTTCTACCAATGTATAACCACTAGTTGTAATTCCTATATTGAAATATTTACAAGTATTCCAGAAGCACTCCCTGAATATTCTGTATTCAACAAATATTCCCGGATCAATTTCACTATTTACGAAATTCCCAAAAAAGTTGCGCAGCATATTATACTTTCGCAGTTAATTACAATTTACTGAATTGATTTCAAACAAAAGTACTGACTAATTAAACTTCTTCCTCTATTATTTAAACTATTACACGAGGCAAGGAAATTGTAACGCGTTACGTTTATAAATTGTGGACAACGAAAACATATATAAGTATTTACTCTATATGGTGTGCTAACATTTTAGTGTCACCGCAGGTTCCATTTCAGCAAAACGCATGTTCACAATGTTTTTATATTCAATTTACCGATTACGTGTTTCGAAACCTGAATCTATTTTTAGATTAACAATTGCCTCGATTTAAAGTTATATTTTGGTATAGAGGATACGCCATTTACTTTTATAAACATAAATTATAACATTATACTCTATCACATTCTACTCATCGTGGAACACTTGTTAGATAATTAAAGATTTATGTTGATGAAATAATTATTTTCTAATCATTTTTAGAATTAACAGTCTGCAAACTCTGCTTAAAACAAAACAGAACTATACGGACTTATTTGAAGAAATCAACAAAGATGATCTTCCATTGGCGTTAGAAATAAAATCGAAAAAACAGAAATGAATTTAATAGAATTATTATGAACGTTGAAAAATATGTAATCATAGATATATCTATATATATAAAATTAAGATATCTATATTTATTGATTTTTATTTTAATCCCGACCAAATTGAAAATTTCGTATTATTAAACGAAATATTTAAACTCAAGTTATAAAAATTATAAACTAATGATAATCATCTGTTTATCCGGAGTATTATTTTATCTGGATTGTAGTTTTTTTTTTTTTTTATAATCCAGAAGGAAACAAAGAATATATTGGTTTTACCATGATGTGTGATTTCTGATAAAGAGAAATATTAAATATTAATATATTAAAAAATATATCCTGTTTTCGGCTCTTCAAATTTTTTATTTTCCCAAATTTGAATTTAAGTAGTAAATTTGAATAGTTTGATAAGTGATAACACGTACGAATATAATAGCACTTTATTGTAATTTACTTATCTATCTAAATGGCTTTTTTTTTTTTTTGCAAAATTTAACACATTAAAAGTTTAACGTACCATTTTAAGAAATTTGATTCTATTTTTCATCTTTAGAATCGTTTTTTTAAGAGCAATGATACATTGGCACAAGTTCCAAATACCTATAGAGTAATATCATACATCCGTTCCTATATCTAGGGCCGCATTTAAGGGGGGGGGGCACTGGTTACAACTGCCCCGGGCGCCAAAATGTTGTGGTCGGAAATATACTCACTTGTGAATTATTGAATTTTTAAAATTATTTTGAAATTATTATTTTTTTTGTTTTTAATAACAGTATCATAAATTAATGTTAATGTATTTAATTTATTAATATATATTATTAATGTATTTATAGCAATATAGCTATCAGTGACTCAGAATATTATTAATGTACCTAATATCAGTTCTATAATTTGTTGTAATGTCAATACACATAAGTTATTTATAATAATACTGCGTATTATGTTATCGCGTGCCTACAACACAAAAAAAAGCATTGATTATCTATTGACTAGCATTTAAAATATCTAAAAGGCTCATGAGGATCTATCCCCCATATTTTCCGTGGATAGACCCTTTAGAAGAGCGTCAACTTTTTTTTTTTTTTTGCGCCGGGGCGCAAAATTACTAAATACGGCACTGCCTATATCTTACCCTACCATGAAGTCTCATCCGTTTTTAAATATAATAATTAGAGTTAAGATGTTAATGACCTAAAAACACGCAAAAATGCCCTAAAAAAATGCAAAAATTCCCTAAAACCTTCAAAAAATGAACTTAAAAATTATCTAAGAAATATAATTAATTATGTGAAAAGAATTATATTAATATATTATTATTTATAAATAATACATTTTATTAGAGATAGTATGTGATAATAGATGTAATAGTAATTTAAAATACGAATTATTACATTAATAAACAATAGTACACATTTACATTTTAAGCATTATATAAAATTATTAAAAATAAATTAAAATGTAAATAAAAATGATTTTTATGTGAATGTTATACAAATTTTCTTTAAATCTATAATTAGAGAAAAATAGCCCCATATTATACATTAACTATAAAAAAATGACCTAAAATATGAAAAAATGACTTTAAAATATTGAAAAATTACGTTAAAAAACAAAAAATATATTCATAGCTAAAAATGCATAAAAATATAAAATTAAATTAGAATATTCTGTATCAAGGGAGCATGAAACAAATTTTTAGCTTAAATAGCATTGTATAGAATTAAAGGAAAAAAAATGCAAAAGTCATCAACAACCTATTTCTAATAATAATCATACGATGAAACATCTGCAACATTAATAGCGGACTAAAATATAATGGAAAATAGAAAAACCGTTAAACCCGAGTTCTTGGAATGCTCGATGAAAAAAAACCAATCCACCGCAGATAAAACCGAATAGATGTCAAACGAACAGTGTAAATAATGCTTCACGTTCATAAACGTATAGATACGTAGGTAATCAACTAATCCCAAAACGTACGTCGGAAAATCGCACACCACAGACAATGCAACCCAAAGGTGTTGCATTTCACTCTCAATTTTCTCTTCGTGTCAGGTGTGAAACATCGTCTTGTTCATTCCACCCTTTTAAGCGTTAAGTTTGGTCAAGCGTGTGACTTGTTGACGAATGTGAGACATTTATTGAATTCACCGAACAGCAGCGGCGTAGGATTAATTTCTTAAGATCCGATACTCGTATGAGAATTCGACCGAATGTACTACCATTGACTGTTTGCCACAATGACCGCAACTCGTGTTTGTACAAATTTAAAATACGTATATAGTAGCTCCGACCCGGTCATTATTTTATTAATTTTTTATTTTTATTCTTTCCCGTTATTGTGTGCCATGTACAAGACCACTGTTGAACTCTCATCCCTCGCTGCAAGAGTCACAACTTTGGGATGGAGACTCACGTGAAACTCGAACATGACCGACAGGCAAGTTTAGAGTCGGTAACGTTTAGCTTGTACAGCGACGATCTACATTTCGACCAGCCAAGTTGATGTTGCATATATCCGGTACACAAGCTGAACAAGGTATGGTTTGATGTGTAATCACGCGTACCACTTGAAACCTTTCTGTTGCGCCCAGTAATAGTAACTAATTACTATTAGTTACTAATACAACAATAATAATGGTTAATATGTAACAGTGGCTTACCAGGGAGGGGGGGTAGTCTGGACCCCAGTTGAAATTTTTACAAACTCAATGGTTTAATAGTAAATAATATATAGTGTATTTTAATTTCCCATTATTTTCAATATACAAAGTTTATAAATTATATAATATATAAACCATATTTAATTTATACTGCTTTTTTAATATTATTTATTATTGTTAGTTAAATAATGTATTTTTTTAAAACATTTTACTACTAAATAAAAATTAATTTCAAATTATAGTACCTACCAATTATAGTAAACCTTTGTGCAGAATATGTGTGATGTGCGTATAACTATTGTGACTATTACTATAATTATTAACAGTAATTTATTGGTATTGAATTAAACTATAAATATAATTAAAGAACAAAGAAAATAAAAATTTTGAACCCCTTCCTCACCTAAAAAATTCTTAGGTACGCCCCTGATATGTAATAACAATATATTAATTTGTAAAAATAGTTAATATGTAATAGTAACAATAATATTAGCAAGTATCTTTCAAATTTCAAGTGCCTATAACTCTCTAAAATTGTTGAGCTGAAAAATCAAAACAATTAAAAAACTTACCCAATTTACAATATAGATTCGTTGACATAGAATCTATTTCCGGTAATGGACAACACCCGACTTTGTAATCTCCACCACGACAACCAAAAATCATATCAGAGCTTTTATTAACATTTACACTTTTAAACTACTAGGAATATGAATTTAAATATTTATTAAAATATTGCAAACATTTAATTTTTCGTTTTTTTTTTTTTCAAAAAAATAAAATTTACAGTATAAGTATTACAATTATTCATTCATTAACTTAGAACAAAAACATGTATCATATATACAAATTACATTTATTTCAATATCATTAATAATACATATCAACTCGAGCCCGTATAAAGTAAGTTGAGATCAAAAATTTTGGTAAAACGATAAATTATTTTCATATGTGTAACTTATGTGGATAGTGAGATAAATGTTATTAAAAAAAAATTGTGTGGATTGACATAAAATAACTCCGTTAATACAACTAGGATAGTGTGACAACTAAAAAATTGGTGGGGGTAGGAATAAACTCCATTTACACTTTTTATTTACAACTGGCGTATCAAGAGTTTTTTTAGAACCACATCATTGCAGTAAACTAAATAAATAAATGTTGTAATAAAATAGTAAATAAACAAGTAGTAACTTATTTATATAGTATTTATACACTATAAACCGGGGTGGATAGGCCCATAGAGAAAAAAGGATTTTCCTTGTGGGCCCTCACCCTATATTATATTATGTCGGCGGCCACCTCGATACCATTAATTTTTTCATGGACATTTATTATTTTTTTTTTATAATTAAATTATTTAAATTAAATTAGAACAAGTAAATACAATACATTTTTTAAAAGCAAATTTTTTTTTTCATTTTGATGGCCCCATTAAAATTTTTTCCTGTAACAAAAAAACTACCTATCCATCTCTGCTGTAAGCAAATATCATAATCGTTCGTACAACCATATAAATAGAATACAACTATAACTATAGGATTTTGCATTTATTTTTTTTAGGATTTACAGGACATAGATTTTTAAGCACAAAATGTGATTTTGTCATATACGAGTCCAAATATAGTTTTTATTTTACTTGTTTTTGCATTTTTTGTACTTTTATGGATTAGATACTTATATTAGATTACTCATATTATATTAGATTACTTTTATGGATAGATTAGTAATTTTGTAGCATTTTATGGTCATTTTTTATACTTTTTTAAAATCTAGATAATATTTTTATACATTTTCATTTACACTAGATGTATTTTTTGTTGTTTATTGCAGAAAATTTCAAGCTGGCCATTGTATAATAAGTTCAAACTTCAAACTGTAGTATTCTAAATTAATATTTTTTTTTTTTTTTTTGCTATTTTTTCATAATATTATAATTTAAATAATTTTGTACCGAAATATTAATTAATAATTAATAATTATAAACTTATTATGCATTTTTATAATATTTTAAGATCATTTTTTATCTATTGGACATTTTTTAAGGTAATTTTTAGGTTATTTTAAACATCTTATATTAAATTTTAAAGATTTTTTTAGGAACCAAATTTTTTTTATCGGTATTTCAAGAAAAAAAAGAAATTAGAAAAATCGAAAATTTCAATGGTCTATAAATATTATGAAAATTTAATCATAAATATATAACGCTAATATAAACATTTGGTTAAAATTTCAAGTCTTTACAATGATTCGCTTTTGAGTTACAGCAAATTCAAAAAATCGATTTAGTCGAAAAGTGGTTATACGTAAATTCCTGTTTTTCTGTTACTTTTTCATGGTTATTACAGTGTCTCTTAAAAACTAAT